ATTTTCTGAGATTGTGGATTTGGGGTTTTCATGAGCTGTAAGCCATAATCATCACAGTTATGACACATCACGGCTTGAACTATCTTGCTTTGCATGTAATGAGTCTATCTCATATATTAGGTTCACCTTTTAAGTTGCATTACTGAAATAAATGAACTTTTGCACGATATTCTAATTTTTCGAGTTTCACCTGTATGTTAAATGAAAGAAAAGGAGACTTTGGAGCAAAGGAGCTTCTTGCAAAATTTCTTGTGCCCTCATGCTGGCTGGGAATTTGAAGAATCCACACATTTTAAAGTTGTCATGTTTAAAACACACTGTTTTATACTTTGAATACAGTATTTTACTTTGAATAAGGTTTTAATTGTCCACAAACAACTCATGCTTTAAGTAAATGGAATATTATGTACCTTTCTTGATTGAAATACTAAACTTCTAGTTAAAGAAAAGAGAGTAGCAACCAGGTAAATGTATGTAAATGTATTTATTCTTCTACTCCTCTCCAAACAGTCCCTGGTTTCATCATGGCTTGTTTCACAATATAATTTTAGCATGTAGCCCATAAATCTCTTAATTTGAGGCTTTCTGTTGAGAATGTTTCAATAGATTGGAAGTGAAGGAAGATTGATAATCCACTATATATGAAATGGTCTTAATTTAACAGAGAATGGATAATCTTTACTTCTGATAGTGTTTATTTCCCCCCCACCCCAGTTCTTAATGTTATTTGGTGGGGGGCTATCAATCAGGATAGAGCTGGAAGGGACCTTGGAGGTCTTCTAGTCCAACCCTCTGATCAAGCAGGAGATCCTATACCATTTCAGACAAGTGACTGTCCAGTCTCTTCTTAAAACTTCCTGTGATGAAGCACCCACAACCTCTGATGGCAAGCTGTTCCACTGGTTAATTGTCCTCACTGTTAGGAAGTTTCTCCTTAATTCCAGGTTGCTTTTCTCCTTGATTCATTTCCATCCATTGTTTCTTGTCCTGCCCTCTAGTGCTTTGGAAAATAATTTTTACGCCCTCCTCTTTGTGGCAAACTCTCAAACTCTTCCCTAGTCCTTCTTTTCTAAAAAAAAATCTATTTTATTTATTTATTTATCAAATTTATAGGCTGCCCATTTTACTACGAGGTAACTCTGGGCGACTTACAATAATTTAATCTACATTAATTTATCTACTTCTCTAAATTTACTTTCTGTAAAGAATAAGGTATGAGATATTAAGAGTGAGCAAAGCTTTCTACATTCACTTTTGAAAGATAAAATCAGCAAAAAAGGGATAGCTTAGCTGGGCTAAATAAGAATAACAAGAAAGACTGTCTGAATTTTTAGAAAGAAAATATTCAACTATCAATAGAAAGAGTAGAGGTAAATTGAACTTATTTTTGACCATATAAAACAGAAGACTCTGTACACAAAGAAAGGAATGGCTGAAGTGGTCTTTTCTTTAATGTTTTCATTCTTAAGCAAGTTAACAGCTGGCTTAGTAACCATATTGAAGAGGTCTATTTCTTTATAACTGATGCAATAGCAACTACACTGAATCTCCTCATCTTCAAGTTATGCAGCCAAAACAGAATAAAATTGGCCAAGAAAAGATTAAGGATCCTACCAAAGATGCTTTTTCATGAGGCAACTGGACTTTCTTTTTTTTCTTTGAAGCTTCTTGACTGAGAAGCGAAACATCTTAAAAGAAAAAACCAAGAAAGTCCAGTTAACTCATGAAAAAGCATCTTTGGGACAACTATGACCTTTAGGACTAAGAATCTCCATAGACGTTAAGGATCCTCCTATTCTTGTTTGTTTTTTGTTACGTTAGAACTATAGAACTATTCATAGGACAAAGTGCTTGGCTGATTGTTAGCATATCCGTTTTCCATGGTTCTTTTCAAGTTTAATTCCTGCAATCAGCAAAAGTCAAGTAATTAAGTAAGTAGTCAAAGGGATCATTTATCTGTAGAGCTGCCTCCAATAGCATAAAATGGTATAAGGTGAAAAGGGCAAAGAGTCTGACCTGATACATAGACTTGATCCATTCATATTTTTAAAATAAAGGATGAAGCACTCCCCCCTCCCCTTTTAAAAGGACAGGAAAAACTGACAGCCACAGAATCATAAAGCCTCAGTAAAGTAACTTCTCTGTTGGAAGACTTGAAAGATCAGGTTAGGGACAGAGTATCTTGAAGAAAATCTACTTATGTGATTGCTAAGAGAGGACAACTTCTTGATGGCACATAATCCATAACATCAAGTTTCACCTTATGGATCAGACTGGGAATTGATTTCTTACAATGGGAAGGTAAATGATTCCTCAGAAGGGTGCACATTGTACGCATAGTTGGGGAATCCATAATGAAGGAGTGATGCTATCCCACCAATGATGTATTTGCCTTCCTGGTGCCATTCATGCGGAACAGACACTGCAGAGATTCCAGTGCATTTAATGGTTTCTACTATGATGGTCATCTGGGAGGTCAGCAGTAGGGCAATACTCAACTGTACTTTAGCCCTCATAGTCCTGCAGGCAAACATTTGTCTGCAGTTTGTCTCTCTCCTGGTTGCCTGCAGCACTATTCCTTTGTTCATACCAGTTGTTTGATGGAACTCTAACTGCTGACAAGAGAGTTCATACAATTACAAAGTTATGCTTTTAGTATTGACTGATCGTCTGAAGCTTCCCTTATGCAAAGCTGCTCAAGATTCAGAGGAAGAGGGTTCCTACTGACACTCAAACTTAACCTTATACATGAATGGAAATGTAGATTTTTTTCTGTTTTTGAGTCTGCTGATTTTTGTTGTTCTCTAGTGTAATTTTCAGATCTCTGGAGAGTTGACTCATGACATTAATTGCAATATTTGTGATAAGTAGGAAAAGGTAAAGAGGTAATGTTAAGAGTAATCTTGCAGAAGTGAAAATGTTTGTGTAATGCCAAAACAACTTGATTTGGTTTATTGCAATTCCTTAAACTTTGGAATGATACAGGCAACATTGCTTGGCAGAAAGGAAAAGGAAGTGCACTAGATGTTATCGGGGTGGGCAAAAATAATGAGAGTGGGACAGTCCCTCAGATAGCCATGGCCTATACTGTGGAGGGTTGTATAAGTGAGCACCAATATTTGAATTGCAGCCAGAGGCTCCCAGTTCACCAGTATAATTGGTATAGCTAGATAACAACTGTTAGAAGAATTATGTCCCTTAGTTTGTTTCTAGTTCAAATTAAAATGCCAGATGCTGCAATTCAGAGTTCAAAAGTTTTATTTATCACACAAGGCAAAAGCATTGAGTTTTGAGTGTGTTCAACTTCTTTGCAAAGGGTGCAAAGCCATTTTAAGTCATGTGTGATGCTTAGCGGAATATCAGAATAACTGAATAACAGAGTTGGAAGGGAATTTGGAGGTCTTCTAGTCCAATCCCCTTTTCAAGGAGGAAATCCTATACCATTTCAGACAAATGATTGTCCAATCTCTTCTTAAAAGCCTCCAGTGTTGGAGCACCCACAATTTCTGGAGGCAAGTCATTCCACTGATTAATTATTCTGTCAGGAAATTTCTCCTTCATTCTATGTTCATTTGGCTGTTTTCTAAAATCTCAGGGGTTGCCACAAAGAAGAGGGGGTTCAACCTATTCTCCAAAGCACCTGAAGGCAGAACATGAAGCAATGGATGGACACTAATCAAGGAGAGACCCAATCTGAAACTAAGAAGAAATTCCCTGGCAATGAGACTAATTAATCAGTGTAATGATTAAACAGTGTAATTAATCAGTGGACTATGTCTAGATCTTGAATTTTCAAGTTTTACTTTCCTAATAAGGACTAGCTTAATTTCTTATGTTCTAATTGGCATATTTTATCTCTTATTGCTATGAGAATAACATTTGTCTTGCATTCCTTTTTAAACTATGTACACAATTATCTTGTTTCTAAAATGACATTAGTTTAGCTGTTGGACTAATTTCCAATACTGTTCACTTCTTATTTATGTTATGTGATAGTCTTGCTTCTGTGCAAAGCACAAACTTCCCTTCTAAAATGGCACCACTCCTGCCTCTCCAGCAACTGCCTCTCCAGCAACAGCATTCATCATGATATAGTTGCAACGAAGCAGAAAAATTAACATTACCCTCCTCCTAAAGAAGCACCAGCATCCGTGGTGAAAAAAAAGTCAAATTTATACATACTTTATTTGTAGATGACTAAGCTAAACTCAAGGGCAAGGTCAAATATCTCATCAGTTTGGAGTCATTAAACCCTCATTAGAGACCAAATTCCATCCTTCCCCCTTGAAGTCCATTGACTCTTCTCTGGTGCCAATTTGCCTTGACCATTAGTAGATCAGATTCTCGTAACTGGTAGCATGAAATAAACTCAATTTTTAAAACTCTATTCTGGCTTCTGATTTCCTGTGCCTGAGATTATTAGCTAAATGGACAATCTATTTTCTAATATATTTATTCTTTGGTATTAATTGAGTTTGGACAGAAATATTCAACTCTTTTGACTTTTGAAGACAACAAAGTCCACATTTTGGATAGTGAGGATCATTGGTTTGAAAGAGAGATAAAAGGCCATTTGTTAAAATTGAGCATCACTCTCTCAACAGAGGGGGAGGGATAAGACACCATCTATCTTCAGTCTATAATACAGCTCTTGCAGCACTGCCAAGATTCCACAACCAATTGCACTCTGATTTGGCTGACTCTGAGGGCACAGATAAACTCCCAAGAGGCCTCAAGAGCTCTCACAGAGAATGCTAAAAACCAGAGAACAGCAAAGAAAGTACAATCCTTCCATATCCCCTCCCACCATCTTATCAGAATTAGCCTTCCATCACTCCACCATCCAGTCTCAACTGTCAATACCTATCTTTCCATCCTCTCCCATCCTCACAACCGGTGAAGTTTCTTGGATGAGAAATGAAATGTGTTGTTCTTCTTTCTCATGGAAAAACATTCCAGTTGTCTTTTGAAAAAGCACATTTGAGGTTCAGTCTTGTTCTTTTTCTATTTCTTATGTATTAAATGCTCTCTAGTGTTGAGCTCAGGTCTCCATATAATTATATAGATTTTGGGCATGAAAATGCATCCCAATAAACTAGCACCAGAAGACAGGATAGAGAAGATCTCCACGGCCACCATGTACTTCCCTTTGGTGCTCAGGTAGGTAGGGACAAAGGTCAGCCAAACACTGCAGAAAACCAACATGCTGAAAGTAATGAACTTGGCTTCGTTGAAATTGTCTGGTAACTTCCTTACTAGGAAAGCCACAGTGAAGCTGAGAAGAGCCAAGAGGCCCATGTAGCCTAAGACACAGTAAAACATGGTGATGGAGCCTTCATGACATTCTATGATGATTTCTCCAAGGAGTGTCTCCATGTCCAAATCTGGAAATGGAGGAATAGTACTCAGCCAGGTGATACAAATACCTACTTGAATGAAGGAGCAGAAGCAGATAATAGAATAGGCCAACTTTTGCCCCACCCATTTGTGGAATAGGCTTCCTGGCTTTGATGCTAGAAATGCTACAATGACTGTGATGGTTTTGGCCAAAATAGAAGAAATAGCAACAGAGAAGATGATGCCTAATGTCATTTGTCGGAGGAGGCAGGTTGTCTTATTGGGCTGTCCAATGAACAGAAGTGAACAAAGGAAACAGAGAAAGAGGGAGACAAGTAGAATATAGGTGAGGTTGCGATTGTTGGCTTTGACAATGGGAGTGTCCCTTTGCTTAATGAAGATTGCAAGGACAAGACCTGTAGTAAGAGAAAAAAACAGAGCCACAGCAGAAAAAGTAATGCCCAAATATTCTTCAAAAGTCAGAAAGTTCAGTGTCTTAGGAATACATTGTACATGAGCTTCATTTGGAAAATGATCCTTGGAGCAACTCTTGCAATTTTCCATGTCTGGAAATACAAGAAGATAAAATTATTTGAAAAGAATGCTAATCATCCTTTGGACTAAAAGCTACTTTATCAAGAGACCATCACATGTATTTTGGAATGTATTTGAAATAATATGGAAAAGTGTTGATCTCATAGTCCATATAATCCCTTGCTCACCCAAGAGCTGTAGTAGCCTCTGCTGGCCAATGCTCTATAGCATATAACTTTGGAGTTTATGCTCCAAAGTGTCTACTTGCAATGCCCATTTGTCTGCAATCTTTATTTGCCGGCTTGCTTGTCTAAGACTCCAGTCACATTTGGCCCTTTCTTAATGACCCACTTGGTCTCTGGGTTACAACAGAAACTGGGGCTACTGAGATTGGAATGGGACAATTCACTGCGCTCAATTCACCGCAGCCAACTTAGCACAGGACAATTCATCATGGGCAACTAGACACAGGACAACTCTCCATGGGACAATTCAACAATTCAGTTTAATTATTTAAAATAATAAAAAATATTTTAATTTGTCATTCACATTTCATTTTGTCCCTACTTTTGCATCATTTCTTTAATGATTCTACTCCTCCATTTCTTCAATATTAGTGTAAGTCTTGTTCTGTGGCAAGATATCCTGAAGCGAGTTGGCTGTAATGAGTTGGCCGCTGTGAGTTGGCTAAGACAAATTGTCCTAGACCCCCTGAGATTACCATTGATAAGTGATGCAGTCATGTGACATTGTGCTTTATGGCTGCATTACTTAGTCATATGAATCCCAGTCCCAATGATCATTGCAATGGTAGGACTGCCTATACTGACATTCCTTGTTTTCCTGTGCCAATTACATGGTCACAAGGATTCCACCATAATAGTGCTATCTCAAATTCTTCATTTTCCTTTTCATGCTAATCTGGTTCTGGATCATGTGATTTTTGATGGATATCCATCTCTTGCTTCAACATGCACAGAAACACCCACCCACTCATGGATACTCATCTATAAAAAAAGCTAATTCACATGTGTATTTAAATAAATAAATAAATAAATAAATAAATAAATAAATAAATAA